CCGGCAGAGTTAAAAGAGCAGCTACAGGGTTTCCTTGATAAGGGGTTCATTGGCAGGCAATGTGGATATATGTTCTAACTTGAGTTGGCTTGGTTGGCTCCGAGTTGTATTGTTGAGGGATGTGTTGAGTCGGTTGTTATTGAGTAATTAGTGTTCTGAGGTGATATATGAGTTACTTTTCTGCGTTGCGAGGCGTTATGATTTGTTGGTTATAAGCACATATGGTGCTGTTCCATTGGGTTTTCATAGTGAAAGTCGAGCGGGAAGAGTACTGAGTATTGCTCGATGAATGACGTATCTGTTATGTCCCTTCGGGTTTGTGTGGTGTTATGTATTTGCTTCACCGTGGGTATGATGATTTGCTTTGGTTCTAGACATCAATCGCGCATGGTCGTCAATTTCGAGCAGAGTGACTTGAGGTGTTTCATGTGGACCAATGTCTGGATAGGGTCGCGCATTGCAGCGAAGTTATGTGGAGATATGACCTTGCGGGTTAGATTCATGTGTTCTATTTCTATGATATGAGACGGGTTCTCAGCCTTGTGTTGTGGTGGTACTGGTGAGCTTGCGGTACAGCTCTTTCATTTGAGTCATTTTCATGATTTGAGTATGTTCGGATTGTTGCTTATTGGTGCGCGGATTTCACAAGTTGAGGCTTTAGCCTGTATTGATGTTTCGTATCACCAGAGTAGTGTGTTGGATTAGATGAGATCGTTGGGATCATTAATGAATACGAACAGATTCGATTTCAGCATGTTGGAAGGATAATATCGAGGTTTGGCTCAGAAATTTGCTATGGTCTTTGCCAAAGGAGAAGTGGCTTCATGAATGGTTGATCTGAGAGAAGGTTAAGGTTTACTGTGTGTTTCATTTATCATTGATAGTGTATGGAAGTGTTGGAATGAGACTTTAGTTGATAAGAGTTTTTCTATCGATATTCGGGTGTTGTGTGCAGCTACCGTGATTAGAAGTTATCACTACAAGTATTTGAGTTATGTGGTATATCATGTGATTTCACCTGAGGTTGCAGGTATGGGTTGTTACAGCTTGTTCGGGCTTATTCGGAATATAGATGTGAGATTCTGATATTGTGGATGATTTCGGAAGTGGAAATGTGGTTCTAAGGTTTATGGGCTAGGTTGGATTGTGAAATTTAAGTTACATTGTGTTATCGGACCTATATGAGATAGGGTGACGTGGGATCACCCCCGGGTATGTGCATGGTAGGTTATTTCAGCGATTGGTTGGCTTTTGGAACAACTCTGGGCACGTTCAAGGACGAACGTATGTTTAAGTGGGGGAGGATGTAACGACCCGACCGGTCGTTTTGAGCTTGTGCACTTTGCTCGCCAGTTCTCGGGCATGACTTGCCCCGTGTGATGGATTATGACTTATGTAAATCGTTGGTTTTGGTTTTCACGGTAATCGGAATGAATTTGGAAGAACAGTTCTTAGTTTGAAGCTTGAAATTTGAAAAGTTTGACCAAGATTTGACTTGTTGGTATATGATCTCGGATTTGACGTGGGATCACCCTCGGGTATGTGCATGGTAGGTTCTTAGGCTTGAATCCGATGTGATTTTGGTGTTTCGATGTTGTTTTGAATGTTCCGAAGGTTGGAACAAGTTTGGATGAGGTTATGGGATATGTTGGCATGTTTGGTTGAGGTCCTAAGGGCCTCAGGTGAGTTTCGTGTGGTTAAACGGATCAATTTTGGACTTTGGACTTGGCAGTTTTTGCTGGTTTTGTGTTGCAGACGATTTGTTCTTCACGTTCGCGGTCAGGGACCCACGTTCGCGAAGGGTGTTTTCTGAGGCGGCGATTTTGACTTCGTGTTCGCGATGTTGTGATGTTTTGATTCTCTGCGTTCGCGAGGCCTGTGTCGCGTTCACGTAGAGTAAGTGGGAGCAGCTGGGGTCCTAGCCTTTTGTGCTTTACAATCGCACAAGGCGTTCACGTTCGCGATGGTTTGGAAAGCGGATGCTTCACGTTCGCGAGCTGGAGGTCGCGTTCGCGTAAGGGAAATTTATGGTCAGCAGATTTTTGTGCTTCGCGAACACGAGGCTTTGACCGCGTTCGCGAAAAAGGTTTTTGATACCTAGGCAAAATATTTAAATAGTCATTGTCCGCGATTTTGGGGTTAACTTTTACCATTTTGGACGATTTTGGAGCTTTTTGCGAGGATTTGAAGAAGGATTCAAGAGATAACACCTGGAGGTAAGATTTTTGAACTCAATATTCGATCCTATGTTGCTTCTTACTTGTTTAATCATGAAATATGTGAAAAATTAAAGCCTAAAATTGAGGAATTAGGGCTTGAATTTGGAGAGTGTAAATTGAGAATTTGAAGGGGCAATTGAGGTCCGATTTTGATGTTCTTGGTATGTATAAACTCGTGAGAGGATGAAAATTCTATTGATGTGACTTTTATCGGATTCTAAGACGTGGGCCCGGGGGCCGGGTTTGAGCAATTTCGGGATTTTTTATGTAAATTAGATACTTTTGAGTGGGCTTTGTTCCCTTAGTATATTTTAATAATTATGTACTGATTGTGGCTAGATTTGGAGCATCTAGAGGTTGATTTGTGAAGGCAAAGGCATCGCCGGCTAGAGTTTGGACCGGATCGAGGTGAGTAATGATTGTAAATGATATTCTGAGGGTATGAAACCCCGGATTGCACATCGTTGTGCTATATTGAGGTGACACACACGCTAGATGACGAGCGTGGGGTCGTGCACAGTTGGGGGTTGTGACCTAGTCCATCCCAAATGAGTTGTTTTACCGCGTCTTTGATTGAAAACTGTTTTCTATCATCTTGTTTTGGGCGGAATGCCATATTTGGGCCTAGTGCCAACTATTTGGACCCTTATGGGATTTTTACTGATATTTTCTCACAATTTTGACTTTAAACTTGTACTCAGTCATGTTATATACTACTGTTTTCATAATTCAGCCATGTTTACTCTATTTTAATATATTAAATAATATTTCAAATATTATTTTGGGCTAAGCATCATGTTTTACTGTTGCCCGAGTGGCTTATGTGATTTTGACTGAGTAAGGCCGATGGCCTGTGTTGTAAGGATACTTTTGGGTCGGGCTATACGCCACAGCGGTGATACACTGATTGTGATTATGAGGACGAGGGCCTGAGTTTTCTACGCCACGAGGTGACTTGTTGTTATGAGGCCGAGAGCCTAGTGATGATGCCACGAGATGACTTGATATTTCGCTTGGGCCGTAAGGGGCCCCTCCAGGAGTCTGCACACCCCCAGTGAGCGCGGATACCCATTGTGATGTGAGAGATAGCCCGAGGGGCTGGTGTTGTTCTATGATCTTGCCCGAGGAGCGATCCTTTATGTATTTATCTTTCCTAGTTGCTTGTCATTTATCTGCTTAATTGGTAAAAAGACATTTCATGAAGTTTAAAATGAACTAAATGACTTTAATATCTTCACTGATTTACTGTTTTTACTGGCTTTTACTGCTTCATTATAGCTTGTAATGTGTCTTACGTGATTTCTTGCTTTCAGTCTTTATTTATGATTATTACTCACTGAGTTGGAGTACTCCCTGCACCCCGCGTGTATATTCAGGTGTTGCTGATCCTGCTAGTGAGGGTTGAGAGCTCCCGACAGATTTTGGAGTCCACGAGGTAGTTGCTTGGCGTCCGCAGTCCCGTGTTTCTCCCCCTTATCTCAGTTCTCTTCCCTATTTATTGACTTTGTAATAGTTTGGTATACTTTTCAGAATTGTGTTAGAATTGATAGATGCTCATGACTAGTGACATCCCGGTATCAGGCTGTGTTGAATTTTACTTTCGCAAACTGTAACGTTCACTGCTTACTCTTGGATTATTTACTATGTTTTAGACGTAATTCTTATTGCTTAACTGCTTAAAACTGAAATGGAAAAGTGTCGACTGACATTGTCTTCACGAAAGACGCCATCACGACCGAGTATGGGTTTAGGGTCGTGACAATAACAATAGGGATACATCAGTTGGTAAATCAGAAATAGTCATATTTACAACTGGTAATTGAAAAATAGCCACAGTTTCAAAAGTAATCAAAATTTAGACACTTTTCATGTAAAGATAAAATCTGAACAAAAACACTTTTACAAATCCTAAAATATTCCAGCATAATATGTTGGAGTTCGAATTTTTTACATATGAGCTTCCAGCATAATATGTTGTAAATTTATAATGTGATTGAGTTCCATTATAATATGGTAGAAGTTTATATGAAGGAGCTCCATAATCCCACATAATATACTGGAACTTTCCGTGTGCTGGAGTTACAACATAATATGGTGGAAGTTTATACGCAGGAGCTCTATAGTCCCGCATATTATCTTGGAACTTTACATGTTTTAGCAAAACAATGATTTTTCAATGACTTTGCAAATGATGATTATTTTTTGATTGCCAATCCGAAAAATAACTAGCCAATGCTATTTTTACGGTAAATTGAGATGCCAAATTAAGAGTAATTGTTGATTTAATTCGAATTGGATTAAGGTAAAAATGATAATTGAAAAGTTAACTATACAACACTCCCTAAGAATTAAAAAAACATTAAGATTTTTAATGTGCCTAATGAGAACGAGGGAAGTACACAAATAACCCTTGAAGTGGGTCTACCTTTAAGTTTAACAAGCATTGCACCTCGGTTGTCCAACGAGCAATACTTTAAACTTTTGGTCATAAAATTCTGCCCATAAGATATGTGGAGGCCAAAAGTTAAAAATCACCCCAAAAATTGTCATAATTCTGCAATTTTTGAAATGAAAATTGTGGCTGCCGGCCTGTAGGCTACGGATGATCCATTGGGTCCTTCCAGTAATCAGAAAAGAACACACGAGGGGGCCCAAAACGAATGAGCCAATCATAAGCTTTAATTTCAATCACAAACGAGCACACCCAATAGATCATTCTAGAACCGTCCACGTGTCCTCACCTAACCCTCAACCTCCCCTCTTATCTTCTCTTCTTCTACTCCTCCTCCTCCTCACTCCTTGTTCACTCCGCTCTAATCCCCCAAATCATCAAATTCCTCTCTTCTAGGGTTAGGGTTTCCTCCAACCTTTACACGCACAAGTTTACACACCGATAAATTCAATCTCTTTGTATTCAATTGATAAATATGGCGTCTTCAACAGCTCAAATTCACGCTCTTGGAGCCACATATTTCACAACTTCCTCTTCCAGTAGAAAACCCTCAAAGACAGTGTTTTTAGGTCAAAACCTAAACAACAGAACCCTAGCGTTCGGACTGAAGCAGAAGAAGAGCAGTAGCAGCCGGAGAAATGGTGGTGGTCACGCGCCGCTGCGGGTGGTGGCGGAGAAGGTGGTGGGAATTGACTTGGGGACGNTGATTTGGGGACTACCAATTCCGCCGTGGCTGCTATGGAAGGAGGGAAGCCCACCATAGTGACCAACGCTGAAGGGCAGAGGACAACACCTTCAGTGGTGGCTTATACTAAGAACGGGGATAGGCTTGTCGGGCAAATTGCGAAGCGTCAGGCTGTGGTGAACCCGGAGAATACCTTCTTTTCGGTGAAGAGATTCATAGGGAGGAAAATGAATGAGGTGGATGAGGAGTCGAAGCAGGTCTCGTACAATGTTATTAGAGATGAGAATGGAAACGTCAAGCTCGATTGCCCTGCCATTGGCAAATCATTCGCAGCCGAAGAAATTTCAGCTCAGGTATATATTTAATCTTGCATTCTCCTTCATAAACATGTATTAACGCTTTAGGATGCTTTTGGTATGAAGTTAGTAAAAAAGTTGATAACGTATGATATTACAAGGTGTTGGATAAGGTATGAGGATAGGGTTTAACTTAATATGTACTAAAGACTGACAATAATATCTTTTTTTTTGTCCAAGTCAATAATATCTAAGTATTGATTGAAGTAAGAGATATGGAGCAAAAGTAGATTTATTGTAAAAGAACATTATTTTTTTTCATATGATATTACAAGGTGTAGGATAAGGTCTGAGGATAGTGTTTTAACATAATTTGTATTAAATATTGGCTTTTGAGGTATTGTAAAAGAACATTATTTTTTCTTCATATGATATTATAAGGTGTAGGATAAGGTATGAGGATAGTGTTTAAACATAATTTGTATTTAAGATTGGCAGTATTGAAGTTTTGATTAAAGAGATATGGAGTGGAAGTAGGTGTATTGTAAAAGAACTTTTTTTTTTCTTTTTGAGAAAACGTGTTCCAGAAAGGCAACCATACACTGTTAGACTGTTAGTCCAGGAAAATATGAAGGAGAAGGTAAATATTTTCCTAAATAATCTTTTACTCCATGCAAAAAATGCCTTTAGTATAATTATTTTCATGATTCGAGATCCTGATGTTCGTTAATTCACAGGGCGTCTGTTTTTCATTAAATTGTTATTTCACATGGCTTTTGCTGGAGCTGTGTGAGGAATATAATTTTGCTGTCCAATAAAGCATTATTTATATGAGGTTCAAAACTGATTAGACAAGAGTTTATACAGAGGCTAGAGCATCCTGCCATATACTTATTTTCTTATGTTTTTATTTTTAATTCCATAGTTAAGTCAGCTGGCAATTGTTTAGGGATGTTATTGCTTGCAAAACTAAGTTGACTGACTAATGCTTTTACTCCCTTTTCTGGTTTAGGTCTTGAGGAAGTTGGTGGATGATGCATCCAAATTTTTGAATGACAAGGTTTCCAAAGCTGTTGTCACAGTTCCTGCATACTTCAATGATTCTCAGAGGACAGCAACAAAGGATGCCGGTCGTATTGCTGGATTAGAGGTTCTCCGGATAATTAATGAACCAACTGCTGCCTCCCTGGCTTATGGTTTTGAAAAGAAGAACAATGAAACTATTTTGGTTTTTGATCTTGGAGGTGGTACTTTTGATGTATCAGGTAATAATGGCACTATGGTTACCCACTGTCGTTGATTTCATATTTTGAGTTTATCGATACTGATGCTTTGCATACAGCCACAATTTGAAGGAGAGGATTAGCTTTAAACAAGTTTGTAGGGATAGTTATAGAAATAAAATAAAAGTATTCTACAAGTTGCTGCTTATTCTTTACTGCTGTTTATCGTGTAGCGTTTTGAGCTTGAGCTGTATGGTTAAAAGGTTCATAGGAATGGGCTGATAGCTGCCAAATTTAAATTGTTGATTCTTTATTTAGTAATGTGACTCTCTGTGCTGGTTTTTCCTCACATGTAGCTCTCTTATGTAGTTTAGGGGATACTTTTATAAGATGTCTCTATCCATGTCTTTGTGCGTACTAATCCCTGGGGCAATTGGACTAATATATTTGCTTGCAGTTCTTGAGGTTGGTGACGGTGTTTTTGAGGTGTTGTCTACTTCTGGTGATACCCATCTTGGTGGTGACGATTTTGACAAGGTTTGCATCTTTTCTTTCCTACCAACAAAATGTTGTTGCGACTTGATTGAGCAATCTAACTCTAAACCATTAGTACCTGCTAGAGGTCACTTACAAGTGTTTCGTTCATGCAGAGAATTGTTGATTGGCTTGCTTCAGATTTCAAGAAGAATGAAGGTATTGATCTTCTGAAGGACAAACAAGCTCTTCAACGTCTGACTGAGACTGCTGAAAAAGCTAAGATGGAACTGTCATCACTGACACAGACTAACATCAGGTATGTACTGTGTTTCAACCTTCATTTTGTTTTTGTCTTATCCTGTTGGGGCTTCTCTCTCTGTTGATATTGAAATTATATATTTTTGTTTTGCAGTTTACCATTCATCACAGCCACTGCAGATGGTCCTAAACACATTGAGACCACTATCACACGGGGTAAATTTGAAGAACTATGCTCAGATCTGCTTGACAGGTGTCTGCAATAGAACATACTTTTGTAGCTTATCAATTTTTATTTTTTTTTAAAAAGTTGGTGTGGCGTTTATGAGATAAGGTCTTGATGTCAGTTTTTTTGCTATTGTTCTGCAATCAGGCTTAAAACTCCTGTTCAGAATTCCTTGAGAGATGCCAAGCTCTCCTTCAGCGATATTGATGAGGTGATCCTTGTTGGTGGTTCTACACGTATTCCAGCTGTTCAGGAACTTGTTAAGAAATTGACTGGAAAGGACCCCAATGTTACAGTAAATCCTGATGAAGTTGTTGCTCTCGGTGCTGCAGTGCAGGTGAGATTGTTGTTCCTCGTGCATCTTGTGTTCTTGATTTGTATTTTGGTGCACCTCTCATTTTCTCATTTTTCTAGGCTGGAGTATTGGCCGGAGATGTCAGTGATATTGTTCTTTTAGATGTCACACCGTTGTCCATTGGTTTGGAAACACTTGGTGGTGTGATGACAAAGATCATTCCAAGAAATACAACATTACCTACCTCAAAATCAGAAGTATTCTCTACTGCTGCTGATGGTCAGACAAGTGTAGAAATTAATGTCCTTCAAGGGGAGCGAGAATTTGTTAGGGATAACAAGTCTTTGGGCAGCTTCCGGCTTGATGGTATTCCTCCCGCCCCAAGAGGGGTTCCACAAATTGAAGTGAAATTTGATATTGATGCCAATGGCATTCTCTCCGTCACTGCTATTGACAAGGGTACTGGGAAGAAGCAAGACATCACCATTACTGGTGCCAGCACATTGCCCGGTGATGAGGTATGTTTTTGACTTCCAATTGTACTAGCACCAAAGTCTCTTTAGCAATTCTAGTTGGATTATTGGGCAAAGAGCTGTATAGTGCTTATCAGCTGCTGAAATTTGCTTTCTCTTTCCTTTTTGTATTTTTATTTTTTTTTAAAAATACTTTTGGTTGTCCATGAGTGGTATGTTGCATGTCATTTCATGTAAATTCCCCTTACTGCTCATAAGTGATGGAATATCTGGTTGTGTGGGAACAGGTTGAGAGAATGGTTAAAGAAGCTGAAAGATTCGCCCAGGAAGACAAGGAGAAGAGAGATGCTATAGACACAAAGAACCAGGCTGATTCTGTTGTCTACCAGACAGAGAAGCAGCTGAAGGAACTTGGAGACAAAGTACCAGGGCCGGTGAAAGAGAAAGTTGAGGCTAAACTTGGAGAGCTTAAAGAAGCGATCTCAGGGGGCTCAACTCAAACCATGAAGGATGCGATGGCTGCCCTTAACCAAGAAGTAATGCAACTTGGTCAGTCACTCTACAACCAGCCCGGTGCTGGAGCTGCACCAGGTGCTGGTCCTGCACCTGGCGATTCCGCTGGTCCTTCAGAATCATCATCAGGGAAAGGACCTGATGGAGACGTAATTGATGCTGATTTCACCGACAGCAAGTGAGCATAGAAGAGAAATTTTGAGGCTATATTTAATTTTCAGCTTATTATACTCTTACTTAGGTTGTGTATAAGGTTTTTACTTTTGCACAATTACGATTTTGGGGGACAATTTCTGGTGGTTGGGGTCTGCGAAAAAGATGATTCATACAGGAAATAGAGGTTAGAAATGTTGAGTTAGGTGGCTACTCTTGCTTGCAAGATGAAACAGTGTCAACCCCATGAATATTTTTAGAGATGTCACCAGTCGTACCAAAAAGTTAGAGATACTGCTTTTCTGGTTCTCACCCCTACCATCCCCAAACTTGATATTTAGGGGTACTTGTGGATCGATTCCTAAAGCTCCTTGTGCTTTTGATTACTTGTTCTCTCAGTCTCAGACTTGCTGTTGTTGGAGTTATTGAATTTGAATTTAATTCTTACTAGTTAGTACCAACAATAAATTAGTGTAGATTTCTTTTTCCAAGCTCGTCTCACAGTTCTTGTTCGTATCTGGAATCGAGTATTCATTTATGGACAAAAGCTTACAGAATTTGTATATTTAAATACAATATGGCAGCTTTAATATTCTACCGCTGCACTGAGAAAAGTCTAAAATACGTTAGCTCAAGCTTAATGTAAGTGCGAAATAAATGTCCCCGAGGGACCTATCACAATTTCAATGTTCATTATACAACGTCCAAGGTAAACACAAAAGATGGATGTACATCACTTTTTGGTTATAGAGTTATTTTTGACTATACAAAAACGTATGTCAAATAAATAAGAGAAGCTCTTTCAAAACATATGTGCATGAGAAGGTAAAGTTGTTGTCTCCATTGACTCACACTACAGAAGTTAAATACAGAAACAACTGCGATTTGTAGAGCGGATAAGAGTCTCAACTCTCAAGTATCCCCCGAGGCAGCCATATTGGAGAAGCGAGGACTCAGTGGTATGGGACTCGGAGAAAGACTACTGGTTCTTCTTTCCACAGAATAGCCACCTGGAGAAGGACAACCATTTCCTATCTCCATAGAGTAACTGCCCGGCGATATACTTCCATTTCTCCTTTCCCCACAATGGCCATAGTCATCGTAGTGCATACATTTCGTACAACAGCCACTCCCACGGCTGTGTCTAGCGGGTGATTGATAGTAATGTTGATTATGATCCACTTGATACCTTAAGCCCTCAGCTCGGCCAACAGACCTAACAGAAACAAGCCTTTCTGGCCCTTTGAGTGGATCACCAGGACCAGGTGGAGGTTTGCTTAACTGGTACCCGTTGTAATTTGGTTGTCTATAGTTGTAATAGTGAAGGTGCTGCTGCTGCAGTGATTGAGGGGTATGATGGAAACCGTGTTGCTGCGGGCTAGTGACATTGTAAAAGCTAGGTGAGCTCTGAACTTTGTGCAATTGACTTCTATTCTGAAAAATACTTTGTAACAAAGACTCTTGGATTACACCATCAGTAGTGCAACTCTCAGGAGATCTTGGTGAAGAACAAGCAGAGGAGATGTTAAAAGAAGCATGACTTATGCTTAGAGGTGGTACCCGAATCCCTGCTTCCCTGGCACGGATTATACCATTAATGGCATCAATATATCGTTGTTCTAGAGGTTCTGGTGGCGTTGTATGGTGGTCTACCACGACGGGTTTTGCTGGGAAGAGGAAGGCACGAAGCCTCGGGATTCCTGCACTCTCACAACGATCATATTCATCTAACATGTGGCGTAGATCCTCGTCTGTTTTTACTGAGATCAAGGCATCAAGATCCTCATGTACTAACTGATATTTGAGAACCATATCACCCTCAATTTGGGGAGTAAGCTTCTTCATAAGTTCTGTAATGTGAAGGACAAATAACGTTATTCCCTTAGAGAACTCTTATTCAACTCAAGAATTTTAGGAAAAGAGACTTTAAATATGCAATTATATTTCCTTGAAGTTAAGAATCAATGAGGCTGAAGCCTGTTTTGGGTCTTGTCAATGATTAATGGCTGTTTGAGTTAAGGTACATGCCAAATCTATCTGACCTTACTATGTCATTCTCTAGAACTATCAAAGGCAAAATAATGAATAAAGATGAACAAAAGAATTACAGTATTCATCATTTTTCTCTTTCCTCTTAATTTGGATCCATGCCAACTTGCCAATGAACTTGATATGAATTGAAAAACTTGAAATTGTTCATCATTAAAAGTCCAATTAAATACATGATACAAATCAATTCATGACTCAATTCCCTCAAATATTGCACATTTTCATGAATAGTGAATTTTTCAAGATAACAACTACGTCTCAATACCAAACACCATTGACCATATCGAATATTTACCTGAAAGTTTAATGTCCCGAGGAACGGAGATAACACGTGTCTCACCACCAACATACTTGAGGTGGCCATCAGCTGGCTGAGGAAGAATTTTTCCTCCATGGCTACATAGAAATTTAATCCTACTCTTAGGGGAGCTTGGTGTTGACCCAAGTGGTGAACCACATAAAACAGGTTCCTCCACCATTACACCTTCCATTGGCATTTTCAAACCAAATGACAAAACCCCAACAAGGAAAAATGAAATAAAAAAAGGTAAAAATTGTATATACACAAAGAAACAAAAGGAGAGAATTGGAATTAGAATAAGAATATTATGTTTCAATAATTGAGATGACAAAGAGAAGAACATGAATGGATTTGTGTATTTATATACGTAGAATTAGTTTCATCTATTTTTGTCACAGGCCATAGATTTGATTGTCTGGTTCTAACCCAATGTGAAATAACATAACAATTAATGAAGGGACTTTCTGGTATATAGGATAAACAAAGGTATCCCTTAATTTGATTACTTTAATGGTATTTCGGATTATTCTGAGGATTATTTCGTTTTGATTTGGATTTACAGTGGATATGAAGGGATAAAATGGATTTAAAATTTTCCCTTCTATTTAGGAAATTTAAGGATGATAATATGATTCAGTTGCCTACATTCATTGAGTTCCTCTATGGAACGTATGATATTTATAGAGTCGTAGTATTGTATGACACCTATTTTGGAATAACAGTTAAATGGATAAGATATTTTATTTTACACATTGGATAAAATTGAAACGATAAAGCACAAAATGGTCAAGGATTTATGACAATGTGTACTTATCCTTTTAACGGGAAAAATGACATTGTATAGATACTCTCAAAATAATAACGAAAAAATATATATTTTTGTATATATATATTCGGTATATTATATACAAAAATTATACACTTTTTTAACTACCGAATATAAATAATTTCTAGCGCGGGCTAAAAATGATAATACCCCTTTTAACAAATTGTTACAAGTGAAGAAGTTGAAAATAGGGTGATATAAGATAATTATCTTGTAGGAGTTAGAGGTAATTAGACGCGTTCCTATTTCCGATTAGTGAGGTATGTCAATCATTTCAACACAATTAGGATGCCGATAAGTATTTCTTTATCAATTTAATACGTATTCATTACTTAATCATTTTTGTCTTTCTATGTGGGAAAAAAGCCTATTTTTATTTCTAAAGTTGTCTTGAATTTTTTTGTACACAGCTAAATTTTACGAATAATATCTTACCCTTACTCTTCTATTATTGTTCGGAGTAAAATTATACTAATAAATTAGTCCCTGTTGGTCGTCTTGGACGAATAGTGACTATTTGAATTCCAAAAGTAACTCATACGATTCTTAAGTCCAATATTCTATTTATGATGGTGGTGTTAAAATTGATTTCTCGAGATAATATTGAAATGTGGATCTTCAAGTCTAGCCATTGTACAATTTCTGAATAGATACCAGAGTTTCCATCTCAACTTTTTGTTACTATAGGAAACCAGCCCAGCTAACTCGATTTCCTAAAGAAAAGCAAGCGGGCTCTTCCAAAGGAAATTCAGAAATAGCCAGATTTATAACCGATAATTGAAAAATAACAATAGTTTTAAAAATAACTAAATTTTAATTACTTTTTCATGTAAAGATAAAATCTGAATAAAATCACTCTTGAAAATCCAAAACAACTTCAACATAATATTTTACATGTGAGATTGCAACATAATATGCTGCAACTTTATACGCAGGAGTTCCATAATCCAACATATTATGTTAGAACTTTTCGTGCTTCAGCAAAACAATAACTATTTTTAATGACTTTGCTAACGCTGACTATTTTTTAATTACCTGTCCGAAAACTGGCTAGCCCGTGCAATTTTCACGCAATATTGAGTACTTGCCTCTAAACTCTCTCTATTTTTAAAAGTATATAAGTCTTGGTTCAGATCCCTTCAAACTTCCATTAGCTTTCGATCTAGTTGCTTTCTAAGTCTTGGGGTACAATCAGGTGCGGAACTAGAGTGTCCGGAGGAGTGCGTTCGGCCGAACTTAGTAGCTTTGGCTTGAATTATGTATAAATTATTAATTTAAAATCCACTAACTTGAAACGATTAGAATCCCGAATACATAAGCTTAAAATCCTGACTCCCCTCTGGATACAGTATGGGGTAACTCTATTTCATTCAGACTTATATAGATGGGAAGAAATTACCGACTAAGTAGTATTTTTTGTTTTCACTAGAACTTGAACATGATATTTTCAACTTTATTGATCATGTTTGAGCCCAATTTTATGTGGGCCTTTCAAAAAATTGTCTATATTAGTAGATCGTTACAAGAAAGTATTTTTAATAACCCTAATTTTACTATTTCTTCAAAATTGACAAGAGTGTAGAGGTAGCTTTTGAAAACGCCATGACTGTGAAGATCAATGAGTACGAACTGACCTGCCAATGTCAATACAAGCTCTACGATGTCATTCTGGATGATGAAATCGTAATCGAAACGACTGTCACTCATGATCCCGCTATTGTATCCTCATGGATCGACAAAACCGAAATCTTAAATGAATCCCGCCTCCACCGCTTGATTGTCGGCCTCGACATCGAGTGGCGTCCCAACTTCACCGCCGGACAAAACAACCCCGCCGCCACCATCCAACTTTGCGTCGGAAAATCCTGTCTCATTTACCAAATTATCCACTCCGCCAATATTCCCCGTCGACTCCGCCAGTTCCTCCAGAAAGAAACTTACGAATTTGTTGGTGTTGGTATTGAAAGTGACGTGAAGAAATTGAATCACGATTATGGACTTTTAGTGTCGAAGAAGGTTGATCTCCGGAAGTGGGCGGCGGCGGAGCTGAAGAAGAAGGAACTTCTCACGGCGGGACTGAAGGATTTGGTGAAGAAAATAGTGGGAAAAGAGATTGTGAAGCCCAAGAGTGTGACTATGAGTGCTTGGGATCAACGCAGGCTCAGCCCTAAGCAGATATGTTATGCTTGCCTTGATGCTTATCTTTCTTTTGAAATTGGGAGGATCTTAAGTGCTTGGTATGATTAGAACATGTTCATATGTTTTCCTTGTGACTACTCCATTGCAAATAGCATGTTAGTTTTAACTGGAGATCAGTAAAAGTAAGATAGAGATCTTTATAGAGTTATTTTCTTGGGCACAAGAAATTATTCTCTCTATTTTATTCATTTCAATTTACTGACGATTAGTTTTGTTATTCACTATAAATATTAGTTTAGTTATATGATCTTTTCGTTGGAGCTTGGTGAATGAAATTGGTGTATTCTTATTAGACATCTATAGTGAGAAAAGGATAAGACTCAATTAGATAACAATGTTGTAGAGCTCACTCGATTCAAATTTGTAACACTGAACTTTAAATTGTGACATTTTATTCATCAAACAGTATTAACATGAACTTTTAATGAAGACTAGAATAGGTAACCTTACAAGTGTTGTACGTTATACGTTTTGGTTAATGGATTGTTCAAAAACAAACTTTTTCTCTAGAAATGTTATTTTGTGTTGTCTTGATGTCGTTTGGTAGGGTGTATAAGGCCTTATTTGTTCGCATTTAATGGAGCTTTGAATCTTAATTAATCAGATCTTAATCATCAAGTGTGTTTATTTTTTTACTTCAGAACCACTTAATTGGTCTGAACAGGTCTGTATGATTAAGATCTATAATAGATACTTAATTTCATTAAGATGCTATCATCCATATTCATTATTAATTGTCGCCACAGCCAACCATTATCAACTACCATCATGCTACCACCACAACCATAATCGACTACCACCACTCTCCATCCGCACTACTCCCACCACCATCATTCTCAACCATAAACAACACTCATTCACCCCAACTACCGCAACTAACCACCCCATCACCATCAACAACCATAATCGGCATTGCCCTTCATTATAAACTACCCCTACCCACCATCACCTTCCTCAATCACAACTACCACCACCATCCACCATTATTAACTATCATCACTCACTACCACTATCCTCAATCATAATCGCCACCACTACTAATCACCACTAGCTACTACCCTGAACCACCACATCAACCAAACCTACCACCAACCACTGTCTCTAGTCAGCATTCACAAGCACCACCGTTTTCCATCACCACCAGCAACTACTATATTTTAAAAAAATTATTTATTTTATTGAGAGAATATTAGATTAATTAATATTTCATTTAAATTTTATGTTTATTAATTTTCAAATAAAGATAAATTTTATATATTCAGATGTTCAAAATCAAACAGTCTTAATCATTTCGTATTAAGATTTTAATGCACATCTTAATATTTAGATGTGTATTCAGATTCAAATGTCTTAATCTTAATACACATCTTGATATTCAGAGGTGTATTCAGATTCAGACGTCTTAATCTTAAAAAAAACAAATGAAGCCTAAGAATAGTGCGGAATAAGGTGTATTAGTGATGCAGAGATTAGTAATGCAGATATTATTTCCTATCTACTGTTTGGTGTGATGTATTAAAAATTATAATGCATTGTATAAATTTTAAGAAAAAGAGTTGTTTACATAAATGTCTCCATATTCTCTAGCTTTAAGGACTTTAAGGCAATTTTGTCTTTAACCATATTAATGTATGCATTAGCCTTGGTATTACTAATATCATGGTTTTCTATGCATTACTTATACATAGGATAATACCAAGTATGATGTCATGGGTGTTTATCGGGCGGGCTGTTCCGGGCTGGACACGGAAAAAAGCAGCTTGTTCGGTTATCGTTCCGGGCTGGTTAGTGGGTTGGGTTTACGGGTTGTTAGGCGGCTGGAATTTTTCAGGTTTTTTGGCCCCGTCTTGGTTCACGCTTAATAGGTCCGGACCGGGCCGGGCTAATTTTTTTTTTAAAGTATATTTTATTTTTCTTATTCTATGTTATTGATACTTAAGTGTTTGTAAACTTTAAAGACTTAGAATTAAACTTTAAATTTTGAAGTTTAAAGTTTTAAATTTGAAATTTGAATTTAAAATTTTAAAAATTGAAATTTGAAAGTAAGTGGCTACAAAAAATTATTTAATAAAACTAATAGGCAATATGTAAGGATCAAACTCCAAAGACTTTTATTTTATATTTTAATTGAATAATAAATACTTCAAATTAATTTGCAAGTTCTATTTTGATTTTTTTATTTTTGAACTTTGTCGCACCTCCTTTTTACCCGCGCCACAAGGGCGCAGAGGGAGTTTTTCCAATTAAAGGACAATCGAAACGGGATTTATTTATTTAATTCAGAGTCGCCACTTGGGAGATTTATGGTGTCCCAAGTCACCGATTTAATCCCGAATCGAGGAAAAGAATGACTTTGTTAACAGTCCGTGAACCAGAAATCCGGATAAGGAATTCTGTTAACCTGGGAGAAGGTGTTAGGCATTCCCAAGTTCCGTGGTTCTAGCACGGTCGCTCCACTGTCATATTTGGCTTAAATATCTGGTTTTATACGATTATGAACTTATGTGCAAACTTTAACTTTTAGCCGCTTTTATTATTATTAAATTTTTTATTATTATTATTATTATTTTTTAAGAATGTGAACATCGTTTAAAACCTGTCTTTGGATTGCGTCACATGAAATGCACCTGCAATCCGGAACACATTTTATTCAATGTTTTGGGATTTGAATTTGGGTCGCATGAAATGAACACCCGAGTTTAAGAAGGTAAGATTATTAAAATGCGTGCCTAAAACGACTAGCGCGTGATTATTTTGGAAAAAGCCGTGAATTTCGCTAAGCGGCCGATTCCGAGTGCTAAGTAATTAATACATACATTTGTGAGGGCCCCGCAATCTATACGTTTTACTAGGCGAGGCTCATCTCATTTATTTTTAAATGGACAATCCTAAAATGACTACATTTTTTCTATTAAAATTAGCCTCTAAAACTAAAGAAAGAAAATCCTAATTAATTAGGAGCTTTCAGAAAAATTAAGAAAACATAACATACTAACTGTTACATTAAGACAAATATTAATGGAAAGAATTTTACTTAAAAAAAAGGAAAATTCGAAATTATAAATAAAATAAGAGATTCGACAACTAATATTCAAAAGAAATCAAATATAGCTAGATTGAAGCTCGCATTGTTATAAAAAAAATCTATTGGAATTAATTATTCACAACCATTTGAAACTAGATTTAGCCATAATTGCTAAAGCTCATTAGAAAGTTTATTAAACTTAGACATTATCTAGTCTTGTTTGAACTCAAATTACGCCTTAAATAAATTTAACTACCCGTTCACGATTAACCTATTGTTGACAATATTAAAACCTTCATAGCTTGTGAATTAACCTGTTTTGCCAAGCCGATTCACTAAAGACCAACTTATGTTATTCTCCTCTTATTCCAATTATTAAACAGTTTGACGGTAAGGAGCATGCTTAAACATATACTATCTAATCACCCAACTAAAACAGAGTACTATTTAGTACATCACTATAAGATGCCTAGTTATGCAAAGCGATAGAAATTTATAAAATAATAATACCTGAAATAGCCTAAATACAATCAGCAAAAGAAACAAGGAAAAAGCTAAATTAAAACTTCAAAGTTCCATTCTTCATATGTCTTCATGCTTTCACATTTTCAGCTTGCAATAGCTAGTATTACAGTCGTGTACCTGGTATTGAATACAAGAGAAGAGGAAGATGAGAATCAGCAGCAGTAGTAACAATACAGCACAACAAACAACCAGCAGTCAGAAAACCCAGCAGTAGACTTGAAAACCAAACAGAAATTCCAGCAACCACTCAATAAAGCAATAACAAAGGACCAACAGTTAACTCAAGAAGCCAATTGAAAATCCCGGAAGCAAACAGGAGGCAGAGATCACACTCAGGAATACACGGAAATAGTATTCGGATATTTTAGGAATCCTCTTCCTCAAGATTAAAAGTATGTTCTTATATCCTCTTTAGTTCTGAAATTTTTTATCTCCCCCAAAATTCTTCTTTTTTTGTGTCAAATGAGTCCTCTTTTATATCCAAAGCAAGACTCCTCCCTTTTTCTTTTTACCTAATTCCTTTTTTACTTTTTAAACTATTATTACTATCCCTTTTACCTCTTTTACTTTTTAACCCAATATTCTTTTACTATGTGTACCTTTTAACTTTTATTATTATCTACACTATTTCTAATTTTTACTTTAGTAAAAGTAGTCAACATGGGCCCCCATGTTCCCTTTTTTTGAATGGTCAAAAGAAGACGTCATTATTAACCTTTTTCTTTTTGCTTTTATCATTATGTTTTGTCTCCCACCATAATTAAATAATATGCAATTGGTTAATTCCTGTTTTACCCCTAAAACTACTGTTACTGCCCTGATTCAAAATCTGTTCAAANCTATATTAAAAATAAACTAGAACAAATGAAACAACCTGAAGCAATAATCAAGAAACGATAAACACGAACAAAAACAAGAATCAAACATCTACTAATTTTAGATCCGAGAATATCAAACAAAATACGGACAGAAACGAAACTTAAACCCACTAACCGGATCAGAACGATGATGAACTCGAACGAAAACAAATCTGCCTGGAGACCATTATCACACCAAAATAATTCGACTACGAAGACGACCATGAACGGACGACTCATGATTGGAAGATCTCGTCTAGTGAGGACGATATGTGAGAGTGATGTGCGATGAAGAAGACAAAGCAGTATGGCAGCCATGGATGTGGTGAAGCAGTAGCAGCTGCTACTGTCTGGGTAGTGAAGGCCACGAAGGAGATGAAGGGCAGTGAAGCAGCAGAAACGCGACTGTTTCAGGTGGTCGTCCGACATGGTGAGGAGGAGCTACTGTCGAGGGCAATGAAGAAGATGAAGGAGTAGCCATGGCGGACTGGACTGGAGGTGCAGCAGCAGGTAGTGACGACGAGATGGTGACGAAACAATAGCCATGGTTGCGTGTGTGTATTGACGGAGACGAAAACGAGCAGCCATGGGAGCTGGAGTCTCGAGGGTGGT